GCATGGACCTTTCCATATCGTTTCGTGAGCATCCGAACATTTGCTCATTCGGTGATACACCACTTAGTCACCACTTCTTTGCTTTTGCATTTAAAAGACCTTCCTATAGGGCATTGATTTTTTAAAGGTCTTAAAACCAATTGATTTTTTCGATACTTCCGTGCTGGCATGGTTGGGCACTACTTGGTGCAATCTTGTTTCAGTTTCATGTTTTTTGTATAACATTTATTTCCTGTATAAATGCGCCCGCGAGACAGGATGACCTCCGGCAACACCTCTGCTTTCGGCCGAAACTTGCCAACGTTTTGCAACGTGCACTGTGCACGGACTGGCAAGTGCCATGCGGAGAAAAAAATCCGAAATCTTGCCTCGGTCGCAAAAACGGACATGGTACGAAGGCGAAAACGTGCATTGGCCAAAAAAAAGCAGGATACCATTTTCATATCAAATTTATCCAGATTTGTTGCAAAAACAGGATGGCGAGGAACTTTTGTGCTGTAAATTTCGCCAAGGAATCGAACATGGATGCGCGAACCTTGGGTGCACAACTCAGCTCTAACATCTACCCGCACTGCATGAAACAAGATGCAGCCCACGAACCCGAATGCCGTCGCGAAGAACACTTTGTGAAAAACAGTCTACACTAAATGTTTCCCCTCTAACCGTACCAGTGCGCTGTAGACTGTGGAATGCGGAGGAGGGTGGGGTGTAAAGTGTAGAGTGTAGAGTGTGGAGTGTAAAGTGTGGAGTGTGGAGTGTGAAGTGTAAAGTGTGGAGTTTAGAGTGCAAAGTGTAGAGTGTAAAGTGTAGAATGTGGAGTGTGGAGTGTAAAGTGTAGAGTGTAAAGTGTAAAGTGTGGAGTGTAAAGTGTAGAGTGTAAAGTGTGGAGTGTAAAGTGTAGAGTGTGGAGTGTGGAGTGGAAAGTGTAGAGTGTGGAATGTAAAGTGTAGAGTGTAGAGTGTGGAGTGTAAAGTGTGGAGTGTGGAGTATAAAAGTGTGGAGCGTAAAGTCTGGAGTGTAAAGTGTGGAGTGTAAAGTGTAAAGTGTGGAGTGTAGAGTGTAAAGTGTAGAGTATTAAGTGTAGAGTGTAAAGTGTAGAGTGTAAAGTGTGGAGTGTAAAGTGTGGAGTGGGGAGTGTCGTGTGGGGAGTGTGGAGTGTAAAGTGTAGAGTCTGGAGTTTGGACTGGGAAGTGTAGAGTGTAGAGTGTCGAGTGTAAAGTGTAGAGTGTAGAGTGTCAAGTGTAGAGTGTAAAGTGTAGAGTGTAAAGTCTGGAATGTAAAGTGTGGAGTGTAAAGTGTAACGTGCGGAGTGTGAAGTGTAGGGTGTGGAGTGTAGAGTGCGGAGTCTAATGTGTGGAGTGTAGAGTGTAAAGTGTGGAGTGTAAAGTGTAAAGTGTGGAGTGTTGAGTGTACAGTGTAAAGTGTGGAGTGTAAAGTGTAAAGTGTGGAGTGTAAAGTGTAGAGTGTGAAATCTGAAGTGTGAAGTGTAGAGTGTGCAGTGTGGAGTGTAAAGTGTGGAGTGAGGAGTGTAAAGTGTAGAGTATGGAGTGTGGAGTGTAGAGTGTGGAGTGCAAAGTGTGGAGTGTAAAGAGTAAAGTGGGGAGTGTCGTGTGTAGAGTGCGGAGTGTAGAGTGTGGAGTTTAAAGTGTCAAGTATAAAGCGTGGAGCGAAAAATTAATGGGTGTGAAGTGTAAAGTGTGGAGTGTGGAGTGTAGCGTGTGGAGTGTGGAGTGTAAAGTGCAGAGTGTAAAGTGCAGAGTGTGGAGTGTTAGAGTTTGGAGTGTGGAGTGGAAAGTGTAGAGTGTAAAGTGTAGAGTGTAGAGTGTGGAGTGTGGAGTGTAGAGTGTGAAGTGTGGAGTGTGATGTGTGGAGTGTAAAGTGTAAAGTGTTGAGTGTGGAGTGTAAAGTGTACAGTGTGGAGTGTGAAGTGCGGAGTCTGGAGTGTAGAGTGTAGAGTGTAAAGTGGGGAGTGTACAGTGTGGAGTGTGGAGTGTAAAGTGTAGAGTATGGAGTGTAAAGTGTAGAGTGTGGAGTGTGGAGTGTAAAGTGTGGAGTGTGGAGTGTAAAGTGTGGTGTGTAAAGTGCAGAGGGTAAAGTGTAGAGTGTGGAGTGTGGAGGGTAAAGTGTCGAGTGTGGAGTGTGGAGTGTACAGTGTGGAGTGTGGAGTGTGAAGTGTAAAGTGTTGAGTGTGGAGTGTAAAGTGTAGAGTGTGGAGTGTGAAGTGTGCCATGGGAAGTGTCGTGTGTGTAGTGTGGAGTGTAAAGTGTCCAGCCTGGAGTTTGGAGTGTTAAGTGTGGAGTGTAGAGTGTGGAGTGTAGAGCAGCCAATGCGACACGTCTAATGTGCTGCACCTGCCACGCAAAATGACGATGGACACGTCCAAAGTGCTGCGACTGCCACGAAAACTGCAACTCATCTTAGGAGAACGTCGCGAAAGTATTGCGCCTGCCGCACAAAACGACTTTCGACGCGTTACAAAACACGTCTGAGTGTCACAGAGTGCCACGCCTGCCACGCAAAACGACATGACAACCTGCTTAGAAACATTCGAAAAGGAGATGTTTTGCAGCTTCCCCCATAGACACGGTGAGGCCACAGGAAAACCAGAGATGTTCTTCATATTTTAGAAATCCACATCATTGGCAACCAGGCCGATGGCTCAAGGCCGTAGCTGTTTTTACGACATGTGAACTTGTATTTTGATAGGCCACCCACAGCAAGCCGATTGGCATCAACTTTCACAGCAAGCCGATTGGCACCAACTTTCACAGCATGCCGATTGGCATCAACTTTTCACCGCTTGCCGATTGGCAACTTTTGTCATGTTCCTGCGGCTGTTGGATTACACAGTGATGTCTTTTCAATATCAGTCCCAGCACCACATTAGATCAAGCAACAAACCTTCAACCATGGAAAGATGTTTGGGATTGCGATTCAAATCATTCCGACTACCATCGCTGCCTTTCGCCCTTTCGCCATGACCGGTCTCACTGCAGCGGTACCGGGAGCTTCCACTGGTGAGCGCACGTTTGAGCGGCCAGGGGATGCAGTGCGAGTTCTGTAGGCAGATCGCGAGGAGCTTGAATGAAACATATATCTGTCCCAATGAACTTGTTCCCAACACTGGTTGACATCAAATTTACTTATATAAGACTGGAAAACCCATGTCATGCCCCTTCAAAAGGTGGCACGCTTCGACTATGGCGAGCTTGCGCCTGCTGTAGAGTGGCCCGCAGATGCAACGGAAGAGGTCAAGGAGGAGGAGCAGGTGGGCATCGAAGAATGGGAACGGTGGGTCACCGCAGCGCCGTCCTATGATGCCTGGGATAGCGCTGCTGGTGATGGACTGATGGTGGAGATGGGGCTGATGGTGAAGGTGGGGCTGATGGTGGAGGTGGAACTGATGGTGGAGGTGGAGCTGTTGGTGGAGGTGGACCTGATGGTGGAGGTGTGGCTGATGGTGGATGTGGAACTGATGGTGGAGGTGGGGATCATGCGACACCGCCCTGGAGAGGAGGTGCATGGAAGACCCACGGCAAGTGGCATGGCAAAGGCAAAGGAAAGGGGAAGGGCAAGGGCAAGGGCAAGCCATATCGTGGCAATCGTGGAAACCGTGGCCGAAACAACACCACGAAAGGCACTGGCAAGGGCGGCAACGCCATGCAGAAGGGCAAAGGCAACAAGCGATGGCAGGACTACACCGATGATGCTGAGGAGTCACATCCCTCTGGCACAGCGAGCCCCTGGGAATATGTTTAATCGTTTGATCTAGACTCGAGATGAGACACGTGGGAGCATCAAAACGAGCATGTCGTGCGAGAGTGCCTCCAATTCTGACACTTTTTAGCTTCAAAATCGATGTTTTCTTACGAACTTTCCTTAGGACCTGAAAATTTGCAACCCCAAAATCCATGTTTCGTGCGAAGCTTCCGTCAATTTTCAGTACATCTCACAAAATGCCACGCCTGCCACGGAATTTGCACCTTGTTGCCACTTGACGCAGCCCTGACAATGCGCTTCGCAAAAAACAAGCAACACAACACGTCTAAAGTGCTGCACCTGCCACGCAAAATGACGATGGACACGTCCAAAGTGCTGCGACTGCCACGAAAACTGCAACTCATCTTAGGAGAACGCCGCAAAAGTATTGCGCCTGCCGCACAAAACGACTTTCGACACATTACAAAACACGTCTGAGTGTCACCAAGTGCCACGCCTGCCACGCAAAACGAAGCAACGTCACATGTGAAACCTCCGAAAGTGATTCTTTTCGCAGAACTTACCATAGGCACGGCCATACGGGGATCACGCGGACGGTTTCCGACGGTTGCGGACGGTTGCGAACGGTTGCGGACGGTTGGGCAACGTCGAGCGAACACACCCTCAACCCCCAGACCCCCAGAGTGAAACGGGAACTTTTGCTACGCATTCGGGAAAAGTCCAGAATTATATAGTGTCACCATTGTTATTTGTTTTTGGCAAAAGGTGAACATTGGACAAACATGATCCCATTCAAAGACTGTTTGGTCTGAAATTCATCATTCAGTTGCTTGCTACTTTATTAAAATATGATTCATGGCCCATGTGCAAACAAAACGCAACATAAGTAATTAATCAAAAAACATTCATGGAACGTTGTGCAGCAGACGTTGTTTCAAACGCAAACCATCGAATACAGCAATTGGGGGCCCTTCTTTCGCATTTGGTCCCAACATGAAAATTTGGATTCTTGCCAAAACTTGAGTTCCAAAAAATGTTTCATTGTGTATTTGTGCAATTCCAGGAAACAAACCAATTCCAGGAAACAAACCAATATATTTTGGTTTGGTTGAGTTGTGATTCGCGAAAATGTTTTGATGTCAACAACGATTACCGCCTTGACATCACAGATCAAATTGTTGATACCCTAAACACGTTTCCGTCGGCATTGGCTGGCTCCTCCCAGGTTGAAACGGAGCCCCGGTGGCTATTTGGTGGGTCCAAGTGTTGAGTCCGTAGCCATGTCGGTGCAATTTCAATCCCAAAACTTTCAGCACATTTTGCGCAACTCGTTTGGTGAAACCTCTTTTGGACACGGATTTTGGCAGATGTTATGCACGTGAACTTGAAACTGAAAGACATGGTTCTGTCACGATCGTCGAGAAAATCATGATGATCACCTTTCAACACGTTCAATTGGCAACCAATTTTTCTATTAAATCATCGACATTTCATTTGTCCAGGTATGTGCAACACGAACGTGGATGGCCGCCAGAAAGTGATGTTCGCACTGACCGCGATCCGTGGTATGGGCCGACGAATCTCCAACATCGTGCCTTGCAGCAAACCGATATTATGGTTTTGTTGCGTTTGATCTGAACCTGATTGAAATTGCACATTGCTCGGTTCCAAAACCCTGAACTGCAGCTGTGCCACAGGTTTGCAAGAAGTGCGACATTGACTTGAACAAGCGCGCTGGAGAACTCACCACTGATGAAGTGAACAAGATCGTGGCAGTTGTCAGCAAGCCTTTGGAGTTCAAGATCCCAGCATGGATGCTGAACAGGCAGCGAGACGTCAAGGATGGCAAGACATCCCAGAAGTATGCCAACTTCTTGGACCAGGCTCTGCGAGAGGAAACTGAGCTGAATCAATTTGTGTGATTTTTGAGTGCTTGTGTAGTGTCTCAAATCGGTATAATTTGTATGTAATTTATATATATATATAGTATTTTTACGAGTTGTAACGCAATGGTCTAGCAAAATGAATTCTAACATCATCCCTGTCCCTGAGTAGTATGTATGTATATATATATATACGTATATATATATTATAATATTTCTTGTGTGGTTTTACTAGAGTTTTGTTGAAGAGAAAATTGGTTATCGATGACTATCGATCACTATCGATCACTATTGCAGATTGTCTGAGGACATTGAGCGCATGAAGCGGGTGCGCCTTCACAGGGGTCTCCGTCACTACTGGGGCATTCGTGTGCGTGGTCAGCACACCAAGACCACCGGCCGTCACCGTGCTTTCGCAGCCATGGAGGGAGGCAAGAAGAAGTGAGAGTGGCAATGTTTGGAAATCAGTACTTAGCACCTCTAATGCTGCAATCGCAGCACTGCTTGTAGCCCTTCAGTCCAGCTACTGTCAATATGTCATAATCTGAAGACTCGGCAACTAGTGAACTCATTCAACTCATAGCTTGCAGGATTTTTGAACATGTCTATCCAACGAAGTAACAACTGCAACGATCCTATAAACCGATGTTATTTTGCCGCGCAAACGGAAGTAGCTGGCCCAAGTCATGAGATGTGAAGGGTTTCCATCGAAGGCTCAGACGACCCCCAAGGAACCAATCTGAACAAAGTTGCCGGGAGAAAAGATTCAGCAGCGATGTCCGAAATGTCCGAATGTCCTTAACTTTGGAGCAACTTGCATCACATATCCCCGAGCGCTCTGCGCAATGAATGTTAGAACTTTGCCGGAGCTCTCACCATTGATTGGCCACATTGTGTCACGTGCTTCTCAAGGTAATCATCCCTAGAACCACGTCTCCCAAACGGACTCGGACCGTTGGACGGTGCCATGTCGGTGCAGTTTCAGTCACAAAACTTCCAGCACATTTTGCGCTCCTTGACTGCAGAGCCGCTGCCAGTATGGGCGATGAATCTAGGGATACTGTATCCTCGTATCCTTGAGTCATATTCTCGATTCGAAATGATTCAAGTTCTGATGAAGGCTTCACCTTCTGTGTTGGGAGCGGTAAAGGTCTTTGCTCAAATTTGTTTAGAAACAGTGACAAGAAATGACAAGACCATTTTATACAATGTTTTATTTTAGCCTCCGGCTATACCAATGGAATTGAAGCATTTCGCAGCTCTTCATCACATAAACATTGCATTTGTCCAGGTATGTGCAACACGAACGTGGATGGCCGCCAGAAAGTGATGTTCGCACTGACCGCAATCCGTGGTATGGGCCGACGAATCTCCAACATCGTGCCTTGCAGCAAACCGATATTATGGTTTTGTTGCGTTTGATCTGAACCTGATTGAAATTGCACATTGCTCGGTTCCAAAACCCTGAACTGCAGCTGTGCCACAGGTTTGCAAGAAGTGCGACATTGACTTGAACAAGCGCGCTGGAGAACTCACCACTGATGAAGTGAACAAGATCGTGGCAGTTGTCAGCAAGCCTTTGGAGTTCAAGATCCCAGCATGGATGCTGAACAGGCAGCGAGACGTCAAGGATGGCAAGACATCCCAGAAGTATGCCAACTTCTTGGACCAGGCTCTGCGAGAGGAAACTGAGCTGAATCAATTTGTGTGATTTTTGAGTGCTTGTGTAGTGTCTCAAATCGGTATAATTTGTATGTAATTTATATATATATATATAGTATTTTTACGAGTTGTAACGCAATGGTCTAGCAAAATGAATTCTAACATCATCCCTGTCCCTGAGTAGTATGTATGTATATATATATATACGTATATATATATTATAATATTTCTTGTGTGGTTTTACTAGAGTTTTGTTGAAGAGAAAATTGGTTATCGATGACTATCGATCACTATCGATCACTATTGCAGATTGTCTGAGGACATTGAGCGCATGAAGCGGGTGCGCCTTCACAGGGGTCTCCGTCACTACTGGGGCATTCGTGTGCGTGGTCAGCACACCAAGACCACCGGCCGTCACCGTGCTTTCGCAGCCATGGAGGGAGGCAAGAAGAAGTGGCTCGGCAAATTTTGATGCAACTACAGTAGATGCTTTGGCAAAGGTAAACATCTAAGGTTTGCAAAAGTTCAAATTGCTGGTAAGGGTTTGGTTATTCAAAGGTTCTAGAAAATTCACAAAGACGGCAATTGAAGCAAGCAATGTATATACGTATGTATATATGATGATATGTATGTATATGTATATGTGTATGCTTTACGCGTATGTGTATGTATGTGTATTTCTCCAAACAGTGTGGCCACACTGAAAGGTTCTTACGGTAACAGTTAAGGGCCGGTGTTCAATCGAGGTGGTATCGGAAGCGTCCGGCATCTTCCCTGTAAATTTCCGCACAAAATGCCTCTTGTGACATGTCCATGTGCATTTCGACTGCGCAGGCTTGCACAAAGTGCTTTCCGTGGGATCAGCGTCCGGCATTTTCCCTGTAAATTTCCGCACAAAATGCCTCTTGTGACATGTCCGTGTGCATTTCGACAGCGCAGGCTCGCACAAAATGTTTGCCGCGGGATTAGCGTGCGCCCGGATTTTTGCACAAAATGTTTGGCATTTTCCCTGTAAATTTTCGCACAAAATGCTTCTTGTCAAATGCCCATGTGCATTTCGACAGCGCAGGCGCGCACAAAATGCTGGCCGTGGGATTAGCGTGCGGCATTTTCCCTGCAAATTTCCACACAAAATGGCTCTTGTGAAATGTCCGTGTGCCTTTCGCCTGCGCAGGCTCTTCCCGGGTTTGGGATCGGTCTTCCTCCTCAACATCCTCATCTTCCTCCTCCTCAACATCAACATCCTCATCTTCCTCCTCCTCAACATCAACATCCTCATCTTCCTCTCATCATCTCCCTCCCATCATCTCCCTCCCATCATCTCCCTCTGATCCTGACCACCATCATCATCATCATCATCACCATCATCATCATCATCATCACCATCATCACCATCATCATCATCATCATCACCATCACCATCATCATCATCATGATCATGATCATGATCATCATCATCATCATCATCATCATCATCATCATCATCATTCTGATCACAATCACCATCACCACCATCACCATCATCATTCTCATCACCTTCATTGCCATCACCAACATCATCACCATCATCAGCAACACAATCGCCATCAACATCAGAATCTTCATTACCATCATCATCATCATCACCATCATCACCGTGATCATCATCATCACCACCATCATCGTCATCATCATCATCATCATCGTCATCATCATCATCATCATCATCGTGAACACTAACATCATCATCAACATCATTGTCATCACCATCACAATTATCATCACCATTGTCACCATCATTCTCGCCATCATCACCAGCATCAGCACCACCATCATCATCATCAACATCACCATCATCAACATCATCATCACCATCACCATCATCACCACTATTCTCATCATCACCATCACCATTATCATCCCCATCATCACCGTGATCATCATTAACATCATTAGCACCATCATCACCATCATCAAGGTCATCACCATCATCATTCTCACCACCATCATGATCATCACCACCATCCTCACCGCCATCAAACTCCACTATTATCATCACCAACATCACCATGAACATTAACATCATCAACATCATCACCATCACCATCATCATTTTCATCACCATCATCATTATCATCACCATCAGCACCATCATCAACACCACCAACATTTTCATCAACAACAACATCATCAGCATTAACATCATCATCAACATTAATACCAGTATCAGCATCACCATCATCAGCGTCATAACCATCATCACCATCATCATCATCACCATCATCACCGTCATTGTTATCATCATCATCATCATCATCATCATTCGCATCGCCATCATGATCATCACCAGCATCATCATGAACAATAACATCATCATCACCATCACCATCATCATCACCATCATCATTATCACCATCAGTGTCATCACCATTAACATCATCATTACCACCAAAATCACAATCATCAACACCACCACCACCATCATCATTGACATCATCATCACCGTCACCATCACCATCATCATGAGCACTAACATCATCATCAACATGATTGTCATCACCGTCATCATTATCATCGCCATTGTGATAATCATGATCACCATCATCACCATCATCAACATTAACATCGTCATCATCAGCATTCACAACATCATCATCAACATCATTATCATCACCACTATCATTTTCATCACCATTATCATCATCATTAGCACACCAGCATCATGAACATCATCATCACCAATATGATTATCATTACCACCATCATCACCATCATCAGCACCACCATCATCGCCATCATCACCATCATCATCACCATCATCACCATCATCAGCACCACCATCATCACCATCATCATCATCATCAACATTAACATCATCATCAACATTTTAATACATTGTCCTTTTACTTCCCCCAGACTGTTTGGGGGCTCTTGCCGGGATAATTGTACATGATACATCTAGGTACTTCATCCAAAAAATCAGCACATGTTGGTCTCCCGATGATTCAAACACTGGTGATGCTTCAGGTAAGCAACTGAAGTCGTTGGAGCGTGGCAATGGGCAAACAATTTGGTTCGTGCTGAGAGTGCAGGGACCTGGTGGGTGGTTTCACATACTTGTTGTTTTCAACCAGATTTCCAATGATCAATATTGAATCATTGACAAATATTTTTCGGGGGTTGAAACCACCAACCAATTTTTTTCTTCTTTTCTGGATTTAGTCTTTGTGAGAGTCTCTTTGAAAGACGTTCAGGCCCACCGACCGCACACGGCTTTCGTTCCATGATCCTCAGTTCTCAGCACTACTTTGCCACCTGCAGCTGTTATCAGCCCATTCCTCCCGGGATTCCTCCCGTCCATTCACGGTATCCTCACTATCCGCTACTAGATTCTGCCGGTGCTCTGACTGCAGTTTTTTGCTTGGTGTATCCGATTGTATCCATTTTTGTTTTGGTTTGTGCGAGTATTGATAGCTGTGTCGTTTGTCATGCACCTTGTTGGTTCAGAACCTGCGTTTGTGTGAAGTCCTATCGCTGAGAAATCAAACCCATGAACTGATCCAGCCAACCTCAGATTTTGGAACTACCCCAGTGGAATCACCATCCATTCGTCGAGGCCAACGGCTTCATATTCACGCAGCCTGTCGTTCAATCCTTAGGTGTACCACTGATGCAGTGGTTGCAGCTACACAGGTGAGAACGTTTTGCAAACAGTAATTTGTATTAATTTGTTGACTTCGTAGTGGTAAGAGGATTTGACTTCAGTACGACACCAAGTGACCAGATTGTGTTCTGTCTCTTAGGAAATCTCCTCGACTCGACTGCGACTACCGCCAAGCCGTGTGGTCAGTTTCTCAAATTTTGTACGTGTTTGTTTTAATGGCTAAGGACGACCCAGGGCTGCTTCCTACTACAAGGCTGATATACATCATTTACATCATTGATATCTTCAAGCTGTGGACCTAGCTAAAGAATGCTACAGATATATAAAGTTTATATAAAGATATTCTCATCCAACAGGGGCTCTTCAAACCGCCGCACCCATGTTTTGAGGTCGATGCAAAGGGAGCTTCTATAGGATGAGGTCAGGTCTTGCCGAGTTGGACATTGGTGTAGTTCTCGTTTCTCGCAGTGACCTTTTCATACCTTTTCCTGCTGTTGGGTTGCAAAGCTGGGTTTAACTATCGTATGATTCGTATGATTTCAAGGATTTGTTTGCGAGCTTAGTTCAGCAGCTCTATTTCTTGCGATGTTGTTGTGGTTGTTCTTCTTTGTTTTCCTAGTCTATTTTCACGTCATGTCCAAGACCATCACAACTGGCAAAAGAATCAAGTTGTATAATTCCATATCCGAAGGTAGCCGGTCCATTTGGCAGGGTCCTTTTGGCATGCTACCTGACGACAGTTATTACGCCTGGAACCCAGAAGCGAAAACTAAGCTGAACAGCTGGATTTATGACAGCTTCCCCTCAGATGAAGTAGTTCACAGCTTCCCCTTTTTTCTTCTTTGCAACTAGGATTCGCCTTTTCCTGCGTGAATCTTGTGGCCAGCTGCATTGGGCTGTGGCCATGGCATTGGAGGTGGAATGAGCTTGTTGAGCTATACATGGTGACATTGACTTTGGCTCCGGACCATCTAGTCTAAAAAGGGTTTTCAGAATGGACATCTAGAGGTCTACAACCCTTTACATCCTCTTTGTGGGAAGCATACTAGCTATGTGTATGGCCATGAAGCCAGGATGGAATGTCACTTCTCTCTTTTGCCTTGGGTCTCTATGTTCTTCACCACAGCAAGGGTGCTCAGAAGTGCTGAAAAGGCCACAGAACTGCACGACGTGCGTCGCCGTTTGCATCGTTTCGCTCCCAGGCAACGGTGCTCCACTGGCGCTGTTTGCGAAGTCGCTGTCTGCCCATCTTCAGGTAACCATGGACAATCTGACATTTTTGGCTACTGTATTAGATATTGATATGTCCATATATGTCCTACGTTTCCAGAAATTCAGAAATTCTCAACTGTTTTTCAGTTCAGTGTTGTCCTTAAAAACTTCGTGAGGTTGGTGTGCATCAACTTTGGACCAATGACTACTAGCTGCAAGCAGCTAGATCTTGAATGCTGAAACTGGATAGTTTAAGTGGTCCCTACATGTTGCAGCTTACATAACTGTGTTTTCTGTGCAGGGCGCAGCAGCGGCAGCAGCAAGCTTTGCACCCTCAATGTCAGGTTCGGAGGTGCCAAGAAAGCTCTGGGACGGCGGGAGGGATAGAAGGGGTATCCGTCGGTATCCGTTCAGATCACGCAGATTCGCCAGCAGTGGCAGATATACATGGTTTGTTCTGAAGCCTGACACAACAGTTGTCATTGCTTATGTTGAGAGGACATTGGATTTCAACGACAGCAAAGCGGGTAGCTCCATGTATCTCCATGCAAACCCTTGCCTTTGCAGGATGGGGAAGAAGAAGAGAAGCGCTTCAGGCGTGTGACACGTGTGGTGGAGGAAGAGATAGGAAGAGTAAGCTGTGGATGCAGTGGATGCCATCTCCCCAGCGTGGTTCGATCGGTCCAACCAAAAGCAGACTGTTGGACAGCTGTGTTGGCGGCAGGATGCAGGACTCAACCCGGCCCACAAACTGGATCAAGCATCAGTTTTACATGATTTGCAAGCCAGTCAATTTATGGGTGTGCTACACTTTCCCTCAACTAGCAGTTTGAATGCTGGTTTGCCAGTTATAGTTATAATTTATAATGCACTTTCTAGTCCGTTGCAAGCCTGCGACCAGCAGGCTTTTCAGTGTGGCACTCTGAGGGATCTCATGACACACTGCAGTGAGGCAGTGGGCTGTGGGGCTGCAAGGTGGATCTGAGCAGTTAGGCTTTCAGGAGTAGGACTCAGGACCATGTTGCACTTAATAATTACAACAGCACACTCATCCCGGGGATGGAGAAGACATCTTGGCCAAGTGGTTGCCAGGTGTGACCTTGCTGGTGAGATCTGGTGAATCTGTTGAGTTGGGCAACAGAAAGGAATTGACTCAGGGAGCAGCTTAGCTTGGGGAGATCTTTGTGCTTGAATTTTCACCAGCCCCAAATCCAAAAAAGGGAACCTGCTTTGGTCCATTTGGGACCTCTGCGGGAACAACCTCCTTTCTGTGACCCACGGTCTTGGCTGCTCAACAGTGATAAAGATCCATCGGAGAAGTGGAAATCTGGACACCACAGCCCATGGTTGTGTGGTAACCATGAAAGCTTGGTGTCGTCCGAAGTGGTTCGTGCTTCGGCTTTTGGCAAACACACCTCATTATGATTGAGAACTCAAAGAAACGCAGTCCATCATTTTCTAGATGTGTTTGCCAATCCAGATTTTCCCTTTGCAGAGCCAGGAGTTTGGAGGCAGTTTCTCATTGTGTAAATGCTTCAGACTGATCCAATGGGGTTGCTAAACATGCGGCCAAACTCCTGGTCATTGCTTGCACGCTGGCCTGTCGCCTTCCGTTTCACCATTTACAAGAAAGAATTGGTCGCTGTGGCGGGCAGGCAAACCCTTACGCAGCCCTTGTCGCGATTTGTAGCGGCCTGCTCGAAGGCCTGCAAATGTCTTCACGATGGGGTCTACCAGCGTAACGGCGTAACTGTTTCATATCCAACCATCCGAGTCTGACACTGAGCATCTCGGCAACTGACTGATCAATGGGTATTTAGTGAAAACTGCAGGAAGCGTTCGAAGGAAATGGATCCATTATTTCACAGTTATTATTATTATTTATTCTTTGGTGGGGGGGGTGGGCGGTATATTTCCTTGTTTCTTCATTCCAAATTTCGTAGTAGTGCTCGTAGTCGTAGTAGTAGTCGTAGTCGTAGTCGTCGTCGTCGTCGTCGTCGTAGTACAGGAAGCGTTCGAAGGAAATGGATCCATTATTTCACAGTTATTATTATTATTTTTTCTTTGGTGGGGGGGGGCGGTATATTTCCTTGTTTCTTCATTCCAAATTTCGTAGTAGTGCTCGTAGTCGTAGTAGTAGTCGTAGTCGTAGTCGTCGTCGTCGTCGTAGTAGTAGTAGTAGTCGTCGTAGTAGTAGTAGTCGTAGTCGTAGTCGTAGTCGTAGTAGTAGTAGTAGTAGTCGTAGTCGTAGTCGTAGTCGTAGTCGTAGTCGTAGTAGTAGTAGTAGTAGTCGTAGTCGTAGTCGTAGTCGTAGTCGTAGTCGTAGTCGTCGTCGTCGTCGTCGTAGTAGTAGTAGTAGTAGGAGTAGTAGACATACGAATGAATTGGAAGACATACGAATGAATTGGAATACAAACGAAGGAATTGAGATGCAGACTTTTTTTTTCGAATACATATGAATGAATTTGAAGACACACGAATGAATTGGGGTTCAGCCTCGTCGTCGTCGTCGTCGTAGTAGTAGTAGTCGTAGTAGTAGTAGTAGTGTCGTCGTAGTAGTAGTAGTAGTAGTCGTAGTAGTAGTAGTAGTAGTAGTCGTAGTAGTCGTCGTAGTAGTAGTAGTAGGAGTAGTAGACATACGAATGAATTGGAAGACATACGAATGAATTGGGCTTCAATTTTTTTTTGGAAGACATACGAATGAATTGGAAGACATACGAATGAATTGGAATACAAACGAAGGAATTGAGATGCAGACTTTTTTTTCGAATACATATGAATGAATTTGAAGACACACGAATGAATTGGGGTTCAGCCTTTTTTTGGGGGGGAAGACTTACGAATGAATTGGAAGACATACGAATGAATTGGGGTTCCGAC